TGAGGATACTAGCTATCTTTTATTTCTTCTCTCTAGGGATGGAATATACGTTACAACGATGATATCCATAGGAGGAGGAGGCATTAGTGATGAAGCAACGTTATTTCAAGAACAACAAATTCAAATAGAAGCTTCATCAAATTCAAGCTAGATCAAGACTCAAGCATTGCATTCTATATGAGGATACTAGCTATCTTTTATTTTTTTTCTCTCTAGTGCTAGAATGTAGGCAAAGAGTTATTGACTTCACTTGAAGCTATTGGGATATCACACACACGTTTCATACTTATGTTTTTAAGCGTTTTTTACAAAATACTATTTTTCAAAAGTATGAGGACCTATCTGCAAAATTCCTTTTCCAAACAGTTTGTTTTTAGCATTAAAAATATTTTACAAAGTTTTATAATTTTTAGAGGTCAAATAAATATTTTCCAAATATTTTTATTGAGTCAAAAACAGTATTTTGGGATGTATCAGAATGCGATCGACCGCACCGGTCGACTGCACTTATGTACATTCCTCTCTGGGCAACAGAGAGTTCGTCGGTCGACCGCCGCGGTCGACCGAGAGCTTCCTTCGTTCGACCACACCGGTCTACCGGACAAGTCTCTGCTTGTTTTTCTCTTTTCTGATCTGGTTAGCGGTCGACCGAATTTTACGTCGGTCGACCGAACATTTCCATCGGTCGACCGGAATTTTCGCCGGTCGACCGCCGTATTATTCAAACGGTAACTGTGTCCTTTTTGTGGTGCCGCTCAGTACAGAACTCAGCGACGTTTGTTTCCAGATTTTGGGGGATTAAGGGTATGGGTTTAAACAGCTGGTTTCTCCTATTTAAACTCCACCTCTTCTTCTTCCTCACTATCCCAGCTTTTGTAAAAACCAGTGATGTTGTACTTCTCAGAGCTTATATTTTCAAAACCTGTTTTCACTGAGTTTTTGTGTGTTCACTTCCCAGCTTCAGTGTGCTTTCTCTCTTTGCCATAGGGACGTTGTAAAGAGAGAGTCTTACACCATTTCTACTATCTTGTGAGTGTGATCTTGTGTAGATCAACTGTGAGGGAGTGTGATCTTGTGTAGATCAGACTGTGTAGTGTGAGATCATATGGGAATCGTTGTGTAGACGAAGTTCCGGTTTCCAAACCGGGTTGTGTAGTGGATTTCTCCTCGAGAGTGGGGAGCGGGGATGTAGGTTAGCGGACCGAACCTCGTTAACATATCGCGCGTCACAGGTTCCTAACCATGTCTCCTCTATTTTGATTGCATTAGAATACTGTGGTTTGCTTGTCTTAATTTTATTGCATAATTATAGCCTCTTGACCCTAATCACCCCCCCCTCTAGGGTCCAACACAAACGTACGAGTATAAACTGTGTTAACGTCGGTAACGTGTTACAGTAAAGGTCGATGCCGGTCAACGCATCAGCAATCTCGCCAAAATAAGCCAAAGGATGATTCCAGGGAGTTCAATCACATTCAGATATGAATTACCGACGAAGATGATCAATTTAACGTCAACTCAATGACAAGAGCTAAATTCAGAAACTTACGCACTAACTTCAGTTCTAGATTTCGACAATGGTCAGATAATAAACGTAGCGCTGGAAGAACTTCATCTATTCAACAAAACACTAAATAGAAGGAAGGCTGAAGAAGTCAAGAATTGAAGCCAACTACAGGTCCTTTGACACCGACTGAAGGTGGGAGCTATCACATCCAAAGTATTTCAGACTCTTCTATAAAGGAATGAGGCTGAAACAATTTGGAGAGGGTATTTTTAGTCATCTAAAAATGCCTGTAAGTGTCCGTACACAGCTCGAGACAAAGAAAATGCGATGAACGTCATTATCCAAGTCGAAGGGGATTATCCGAGTCAAAGAGGATCATCTGACACTGACAAGCACATGAAGTGAATCAGTGAACCAAATGGCCCATGCGCTCACTAGCCACCTCCAAGTTAATGAAATATATGAAGTGAATCAGTGAAGTGTACGAGTCAACGTGACACGCGAAATGGCAAAACAACTCAGCCAGGAGTTGTGTTTCGCCCAAAAGGGGCGAAACACCATGTGTGTCTCGCCCACACCATGAGTGGCTCGTCCATTGGAAGCTGTAGGTATCTTCACCAACTTTCCAACTCATTTTGAATCACCTCATTCCAAGATTGGACGAGAGGGCTAGAGCCAAAATACCCGAGATGGTACGAACTGGCTCGTAAGGCTGCGTGCCACCATTTGGTGACTCACACAATGAGGTAACATTTTGACTATGATGTGATTTGATTCTGAAGAAACTCAAAAGATAAAAGTTGTAGGTCACTTCGCTATCTTCCCAACGCATCTTGAATCACCTTATTCAGAGATCGAATGAGAGAGTTAAAACAAAAATACCCGAGGTGGTATGAACTGACTCTGCCAAGGCCGAGCCACCAAATGGTGGTTCGTGCCTGAGGGAGTGTGCCTGTAGTGCCTCCCCTTTAGAATTTAGATAGATAAATTAAATTTATTTTAATTTAATACTTTAATAGCAACTCTCATTACACTTCGGTGACACAAATTCCTTGTGAATCCCCAGCGAAAGAAAAGCTCCACCACCCTAGTACAAACCCACGAAGCTCCAATGCCGATCCCTTCTGAAAAATTTCCGATCCAACCTTATCAATTCAATCAAAACCTTAGCAATCAAGATCCAAGAAATCTTACACTACAATGACGGCCACGGACGATTACTATGGTTTGGAGAGATTCGGCATGGAGAAAGACTATGTGGAGGTCAATGAAAAAAAGTTACCCAAAAAACCTTCTTAGAGCATCTCCAACAGCTTCCCCAAAAATTTCTTCAAAATGGGGAAACAAAAGTCATATTCTCCAAATTATTTTTGCTCCAACTCCGGGAAACAAAAGTCATATTCTCCAAATTATTTTTGCTCCAACTCCAACAGCTTCCCCATTTTGAAGAATCATGCATTTATTACAATAATAAAAATATTCTACATCTTTGACTAATAAATAATAATTTATTTTTTATTTGAAACTTTGAAATAACGGCTAGTTTCCAACGGCTATTTTCTAACGGCTAATTTACAACGGCTAGTTGACTTCTATTTTTTGTCTATATATATATAAGAACAAATCTGGACACTTTTGTTATCTCATTCTCACATTTTTTGCTTCCTCATCTTTGCTTAACTTTGAAAATATATTTTATGGCTCGTCGTTCGTTGGCTAGTCGTTATCTAGTTGATATGTTCATGGATGACGACGACAATATTGACGACGAATATGAAGAATTGTTACTTGCTCAAATAGAAGAAAAAGGTCGTGCCAACCAGAGTTCTAGAGGAGGTCATCGTGGTTCTCTTATGGGTCACCGTATTGTTAATCGTGATCTAATTGAGGGTCATGAAAGACTTTGTCGTGACTACTTTGACAATCCTCCAAAATATGGGGCTCGTCTCTTTCGAAGGAGATTCAGAATGAAGCAAGCTCTTTTCATGCGCATTCATGAAGCCGTCGTCGCGCATGATACTTATTTTGTTCAAAAGAGGAATTCTGCTGGGCGTCTTGGCTTGTCATCACTTCAGAAGGTAACAGCTGCTTTTCGACAACTTGCATATAGTGTTCTAGCCGATTATGTTGATGAGTATGTGCAGATTGGGGAAAGCACCGCTATTGAAAGTCTCAAAAAGTTCGTCACAGCAGTTGTCGAAGTGTTTGGTGATGAGTACTTAAGGTCGCCAAATAGTGATGACCTTAAGAGATTACTTGCAATAGGTGAACGACGCGGCTTTCCTGGGATGCTTGGAAGCATTGATTGTATGCATTGGACATGGAAGAATTGCCCTACTTCTTGGCATGGTATGTTTACTGGCCACATTCATGAACCCACTATTATTTTAGAAGTTGTAGCTTCATATGATTTGTGGATATGGCATGCTTTCTTTGGATTACCTGGGTCTCTTAATGACATCAATGTGTTAGAGAGGTCTTATGTATTTAGTGGATTGGATGAAGGTAGTGTCCCTCATATTAGCTATAAAGTCAATGGGAGGCCATATGACATGGGATATTATCTTGCCGATGGTATATATCCATCATGGGCAACATTAGTGAAGACTATTCCAGCTCCACAAGGAAATAAGCATCGACATTTTGCTAAAGAGCAAGAAGGGGCAAGGAAAGGTGTTGAGCACGCATTCGGAGTGCTTCAATCACGTTTTGCGATTGTCCGAAACCCTGCAAGACTTTGGGATAAGGATAACCTAAAACATATTATGATGGCATGCATAATTATGCATAATATGATTGTCGAAGACGAGCGTGATGAACATGAGTGTATTCGTAAACTAAGGAAGATACATGATATCGAAGAAGAATATGACCATGTTGATGAAATTCCACGCATATCACTTTCGCTCGAGCGTACACCAATAATAATAGAGTTCATCGCAAATCGTCATCGAGTTAGAGATAAACAAATGCATACTCAACTCCAAGAAGATCTTGTCGAACACTTATGGAAAAAACATGGAGCCAATTAGTGATTTGCTTTCGAATATAAATCAATATTATGTTGTTTCAACTTCATTGTAATGTCGTTAAATTTATGAAGAATATTATGTTGTTTCAACTTCATTGAGTAGTAGCATACTTGGTCAAGATAAAATTACTAACTCTACTGCAACAATCAATTTCAAGATAAAGTTATTAACTTATGTGAATATAGCCATGAACTTTGCTACTGGGAGCAATTGCAGGAAAAAAAATAAAAAATGAGTAACAATGGTCAGCAAGCATAAAGATTTAGACATGAACTTTAACAATAACATTGTTCTAGGTCCAAACTTGAGAAACAATATACACTTTTCCAGCTAAACTAATCTCACACAAAAACTATACCCCTCTAAATATTCAGCAGCTGAAAAGCTAGAAAGAAAGAATCCAAAACACATAACACAAGTCTCTGAATAGCATAAATATCCAGGAGTAATGACACAAGAGACTACTCATTTCCATTCTTACCAGCTCTTTTTGCCAAAATTTCTCTCTGAAGGCTGATGAAATACTCTGATTGAATAGGATTCATGGAACTAGTATCCATAGACATTATTTTAGTTTCCTCACTTCGAGCGTGAAGTTCAATTTCCTTTTCTCTAAGAGCAACTTGCTTTTGCTCAATATCAATTAGCAACTTAAGTTGTTCTGCCTTTACGCGGTCACTTTCTAGTCTCCTTGCCCTAAACTCTTCCAACTCAGAACGGACTTTTGAAGATTCCTTCTCATCATCATCACCTTGCTCGTTGGATTTTGTTTTTTTGTTCGCTTCTTTTGCAGCCTTTCTTCCAATAGGCCTCTTCAAGGGTGCAGGTTCAGGAGCATTTCCATTATCATCTTCCAAGTTAATTGAAATTTGATTTTTAGTAGGAGCCTTGAAGATTCTAGTTGCTTCAATTTTTTTATGTTCAACCATCCATTTTTGCTGAAACCTCAGAAGAGTCCAACAATGGTCAAATCCAAACTAATGACCTTCCTTATCTTTGTAGACCGTTTTGCCTCTTGTATCTACAAAGAATAGCCTATGTAAATATCTAACAAAAAAATAACATTTGAGAATGCAACATCAGTACTAACATTTGAAAATATAAATAAGCAGTAGGATGCTTTAAAGATAATGAAGATAACAATGGTGTGCAACTTACCTGCCTCTGTGTATCCACTTTTCCGCAAGTGTTCAACTGCAACATAATATCCACAAAACCTACTCACACTGAAACTTATTTTTGACCAGCGGTTCGTCAGTGATTTTTCAGTTCGTTCATCCGACCAACTCTTATGATCTTCAAAGTATCGAGTAATTCTTTTCCAAAATTGGTTCTTCTTTTGATCAGATCCTTTGATTGGATCTAAGCTTGTATTCAGCCATGCGGCTATAAGAAGTTTGTCTTCCTCAGGAGAAAAGTTGATAGTTCTTTGAGATTGTTTTTGTGATTTATTGCTGCTAGGTGCACATGGCGTCTCTTGATCAGTGTGAGCTTCAGTAGTATATGTCTCTTCAAAAGGAGAACCACTGGAATGGTACTGACTCAATGGAAAATCATATAGCAGATGTGGTTCATTGAGATCATCAAGGGACGATCCATTGTTGAGGAGCTCGGTGAAATTCATCTGCAGAATCTCAGAATTGCTTAACCACCAGATATAGAACTACTAAATTGCATGCACATAGAACTATGCAAATTATTATACTCAAGAGGCTTAGAGGAGGTAAGCGAGCAGATATCTCCTCAATGACAGGTCACTTCACTTTACTTCAGCAATACTCTTGACAATTGATCTTATATATCATGATTCATTGCAAAAAAAACTTAAAACTAAATGAACTAATAGTTGATAATATTACAGGAGGAGTATTAAGATTTGTGTCATCATAGAAGTTCCAGTACAAAACTAAATATAGAAGCCTGTAAATTTGAACTCAATATAGAAGTCTGAAAATTTCTGACCAGTTAACATTTATAACAAATCAGAAACAATGTGCAAAGAGATGAATAGAAGAGGATGAAATATACCAAGGACCAAGGAAAATCTCTAGTTCCATAATTCTGTAGGGTTCAATAACTTGCTGAGTTCGCAGAAACACTCATACCAAAAAACAAGAGGTTTCAACTCATACTTCAGTTTGCAACAACCTTGATTTCGCCAAAAATTAGAAGCCAAGCAATACACGTTTGCCATGGTACACTATGCTCAGCTCTAATTCAAGAAAAAAACTCCTCATATAAAATTAGGTATTTTATAATGCTGACAGGTTATCAAAACAATTTTAATCTATAACTATTGAGCTAGCTAGACCAACAATCAAAGGATTAGGATACCAGATCAGAGGATTAGGATTCTTGATCATCCCCAAAATCAAGATTCAAGGGTCTATTACAATCAAAAATTGAAATTGAGAGAAGAACTTTACCTGAAATCCAATGGAGGCTGAAGCTCGTCGAAGATGGGAACCGGCGGCGAACGCTCGAGCTCGAGGAGATCGACGGATGGAAACCCTAGATCTTGAGGTGAGGGACGAGAATCAAGGAGTTGAATGATTATCTTATGCGGCGAACGCTCGAGCTCGAGCTCGAGGATGGGAACCCGCGACGAACTTTCTTTGATCTTGAGGTGAGGAGATCAAGTCGTTTTTTGAGTGTTGAGTCTTGAAGAACGTGAAACAGTGCTTCCCCAAAAATTTGCAGAATGTTGCAGATTTGGGGAAGACTCTATTTTTTCTCCTCCATCCCTATTTTGGGGAATGAGATGGGGAATCTGTTAGATCAAAAAAAAAAGCTCAAAATTCTCCAAATTTGAGAATACCAATAAAATGGGAAAGCTGTTAGAGATGCTCTTACTTGTCGTGGTGAGAGAAAAGAAAGACTAGGAGTAGAGGAATGATTGTTGGAGATATAGAATGAAAACTAAGTTTTAATGAAAAAAGTGCCAAAATATCTTTCTTAATTTTTCAGTCAATTTTTTCTTTTATACAACTTAAAAAATGAAAAAACTTACTATTATCAAAGTATCAAAGTAAAAGCTCATTATTTAATTCAATAGTTTAATAGTGTAATACAATTTTCCAAAATCGAAGCTGAATCCAAAATACAAATTTACAATCCAAAAATCTAATAACTTTTTAATCAAAAAAATCTTAGTATCTTAGCACTACTGATCCTAGAATTCTAACAAAACCGAACCAATAGCAAATCCTAATCCCTTACAAATCATGCAAATTTGTTTAAAATATTTGCTTTGGATTCTTGGCCCCCAAATAAATTTTACAATAATGCCACTGTGATGGTCAAAGGCAATATGAGTTCGGTAATGCAATAGGGAGGGGTTGAGTTTTTGGATTTAGAGGATTTAGGTTGGAGAAGAAAAATGAAAGGATATTTGTCACTGAGGAACCAAATTGCAAGACCCTTAGGATTTGAGGGACCCGTGAACAATTTCAAAAATTAGAGGGATTATAATATGGAAGGAAATATGGCTAAAATACCAAATTAACCTAAATACTGACACCGCTTTACCACTCTAGCCTTAAAACTGATACCGATGTCACTCTAGTCTAAAAACTCACAAATACAATGACCAGTATATCTATCCGGTCGAAAACTTAAATTTGCCATTAGTTGAAGCAAAAAATTTAGAGATTTTTTCATATAGGCCCTCAATCTCTCATGTTTTTTAGATTTACCCCCATCAAGTATTAAAATTTGAAAAAAAGCTCCTCACTTCCCACCATCTCCTCCCTCCTCCATCTCATCATCTCCTCCACTCTTTTCTCCTCCCCATCCTCAACTTCCCCTCCCCATCCTCAACTTCCCCTCCTCACTCTCACTCTCTCTCTCTCTCTCTCTCTCTCTCTCTCTCTCTCTCTCTCTTTTTCTCTCTCTCTCTCTCTCTCTCTCTCTCTCTCTCTCTCTCTCTCTTATTTTCCGTACCTCCACCCCCCTCTCTCTCTCTCTCTCTCTCTCTCTCTCTCTCTCTCTCTCTCTCTCTCTCTCTTATTTTCCGTACCTCCACTCTTACCTCATTCTCTCCCTCTTTCTTCAATCTCACATCTTCTTAACTTTCTTAACTTTTCTCTAAACGTTTGATGTTGGGTCTGGGAGAGGAAAATGAGAAGGAGGTTGAGTTATTTAGTAGAATGTTTAATGTTAGAGATTGGGAGCGGGCGGAGCAAGGCGGAAGAGGGAATGAGAGAGAGGAACATGGAGTGCGAGAAAGGAAGATGAGCATGGAGGGGGAGTAAGAGAGAGGGAGAAGAGAATGGAGGAGATGATGAAAGGAGAAGATAAAAGCGAGGATGTGATGAAGGAGGGAGAAGGAGTGAGAGAGTGGAGGGAAAGTTGGGGATATAGAGAAGAGAATAGAGGGGATGATGGGAAGGAAGAGGGAGGAGATGGTGGGAAGGAAGAGGGGATTTTTATGAACTTTACAATATGTAAGAGGAGAGAGGGGTTAATCAGGAAAATATGGCAGATTAAGGGGTATGTATGAAAAAATCTATTAAATTTTTTACTTGAAAATTATTGCAGGCAAGAAAATAAGCCTATCTATCACCGTGTTTGTGAGCTCTTGGGTTAAAAGCGTGGCCGGTGTCTTTATTTAGGTTGGAAAATGCTAGAGGCACATCTCCTAACCACACCTGCAACCACACTCCTCTCTCGCTACAATGCACTGGGGCCCACATGAGAATTTTTTTAAAATTCTCATGTGGGCCTCAGTGCACTGTAACGATAGGGGAGTATGATTGGGTATGTGGCTGAGGGTGTAACTGTAGCGCCTCCCATTTAGGTTAAAAGGGGTCAAACCCACTCTATTTTAGAGAAGGGAGATATTGAAGATTTGAGGGGGTCTAAATAACCCCCCTGCTTCCATGTTAGCCCATATTTCAATTCAGACAGGATCGAAAACCCCAAATTAATCAATCGAGTCCTCTGAGCGCCGACCAGTTGCTTTCCCCCTATACGATCCCAGCCTTCTCCTGATTGGGATTCTGCCCCAACCCAACTCAAGCCCCCCAGCCTTCTTAATAAAATCCGAAGGGCTCCACCGCCCGTTAGTTCAGGCCTCCAACCAACGGCGATCTCTTCTCACATCCATCCCCCTCCCATCTCAATCCAGTCAAAACCCTAGACCAAACCAACGGCGGCCATGGACGATTACGAGGGCCGGGAGCGGTTCGACATGGAGAACGACTACGAGGACGGGCAATGGATCAACGGGCCCGACCTCACGAAGCCCGTCCAGTTCGTCTCCACCGGCACCGTCATGCCCGACCAAGAGATCGACAAGGAGAACGGTACGGCGTCTGAAAACCCTAACTCTAACACCAACCCCAGCCAGGCTGGCCTCGGTTACGGCCTAGGGTTTCAGGCCGATTCCAGTAGGAAAACTGATGGGGGTGAGGCTGATGATGTGGATGCTGAATTTTTACCTACCGCGTTTGGGAGAAAGATTAAGGAGGGGGCTCAGCGGAGGGAGAAGGAGAGAGAAAAAGAAAGGTCCGCGTCAACGAAGGCTGCTTCAGTGAAGAAAGGGATGGGGAAGAGGGATGCGGGGGCGGGTAAATTTGAAGCGTTTACTTCCGGGATCGGATCCAAGCTTCTGAGGAAGATGGGATACAAGGGCGGCGGATTGGGGAAGGATGAGCAAGGGATTACTGCTCCGATCGAGGTGAAAATGCGTCCGCAGGGGATGGGGATGGGTTATAATGATTATAAAGAGGTCAAGATGCCGGCTTTAGATGAGAAAGAACCTGAGGAGAAGCCGGCAGCCAAATTGCCTGCTTCCTCCAAAGAGAAGAGGTGGTTGAAGCAGAAGCAGGGAAGGAAGAAAACTGAAAGTAAGTACTTGACGCCGGAGGAGCTTCTTTTGCAGAAGCAGGAGCAGGGGTTGGAGGACACAAAGGTGCAGAAAGTGCTGGACATGAGGGGCCCACAGGTTAGGGTTTTGTCGAATCTTGAGAATTTGAATGCAGAGGAAGAGGCAAAGGAGAACCAGGTCCCGATGCCAGAGCTACAGCACAATGTGAAGTTGATCGTCGACATGGCTGAGGTTGATATACAGAGGATTGATAGGGATTTGAGGAGGGAGAGGGAGAAGGTAGTGAGCTTGCAGAGAGAGAAGGATAAGTTTCAGAAGGAGGAATTGAGGCAAAGGAAGCAGCTCCAGGTCATGGAGACCATTGCTGGAGTGGTGGAAAGAGTTGGGGAGGAGAATTCCTTGGGTGTTTTGAATTTAGAATCGCTTTTGACCACCTTCAGTAATCTGAAGCAACAGTATAAAGAGGAGTACAAGCTTTGCAACCTTTCATGTATTGTTTGTTCCTTTGCATACCCTTTGCTTATCCGAGTCTTTCAAGGGTGGCAGCCACTTCAGAATCCACATCATGGGTTGATACTTATGGCTTCATGGAAGAGTCTGTTGCAAGGGGATCAAGATCAACCTTTTGATTATTCGGAAAATCCTGTCGATGCTTCTCCCTATACTCGGCTTGTTAACGAGCTTATTTTCCCTGCGGTTAGAATATCAGGGACTAATAGTTGGAAGCCAAGGGACCCTGAGCCGATGCTTCGGTTCTTGGAGTCATGGGAACAGCTTCTTCCTCCTTCGCTGGTTCAGTCAATTCTTCAGAATGTTGTGATGCCGAAATTGTTGGAGGCAGTGGACGAATGGAATCCTTTGTTGGAGACTGTCCCAATTCACTCCTGGGTCCATCCGTGGCTTCCTCATTTTGGTCAGGAACTGCAACCTTTATATCACAGGATCTGGCCCAAATTTGATGTTGCCCTGCGAGGTTGGCATGCGAGTGATTCATCGGCTTATGCTGTCCTTTCTCCATGGAAGGATGTTTTTGATGCAGCCAGTTGGGAGAGACTTATAGTTCGATGGATTGTTCCCAAGCTGATAGATGTGATGAAAGAATTCCAAGTAAACCCCGCAAACCAGATTTTGGATCAGTGGAATTGGGTCATGACATGGGCTTTAGTTATTCCAATACACCACATGGTTAACCTACTCGAGGTTGAGTTCTTCTCGAAATGGCATCGAGCCTTGTATGGATGGTTGTGTTTAAATCCTGATTTTAATGAAGTTACTCGGTGGTATATGGGATGGAAGAGTCTTTTCCCTCCAGAATTGCTTGCTAATGAGAGGATTAGACAGCTTCTGACGGCTGGTCTTGATATGATGAAGCAAGCAGCAGAAGGCGCGCCAGTGGTGCAACCTGGGGTTAGAGAGAATGTCAGCTACTTGAGAGTTACTGAGCAAAGACAGTTTGAAGCTCAGCAGCAAGCAGCTGCAGCAAGGGCACATGCAGATAATTTAGGCAATGCACCTCTTAAAGACCAGATCCAGTTTTTTGCGGAAGAGCAAGGGGTGCTATTTGTACCGAAAGTTGGTAAATTGTACAATAGTCTTCAGGTGTATGGATTTGGCAATGTGAACATCTGCATAGATTATCCGAAACAGCTTATTTATGCACAAAGCTCTGGAGGATGGCTTCCTGTGTCATTGAGCCAACTGCTACAGATGCATCGGAATTCTGCACAGCGATAAAGGTGCTGCCTAGCTGGTAAAGATTTTTTTTTTCAATGTGCAGTTAATTTCTGTTTTCTCTAAATTGTTTTATCTTTGTCATCTATAATTGTCACGCCCCGCTTCCCAAAATACCCAGGAATCGAAACGTGAGCAAGCCCGCGACGTATTAGATTGAGAAAAAATATACATTATCTTTTTTTTCTTTTCTTCTTTCTTCTCAATCCAATACGCTAAGCGTCTGAAACTAAATACAATACGAAGTCACAGGTCCCCGATCACAGATAGCAAGAATATAATGAACAAACTTAGAACAAAATGATACAAATCACAAATGAGATAACATCCGAGACATAATATTCGGGTCAACATGCCCTTATACAAACTATCTGAAAGAAATGCTGGAGAATATAAAATACAATGATCAGGCAAAAAGGAAATGCTACAAAAATAAACTGAAAGGAATAACTAAGTTTCAACTTGTTCTTCTGCTCCATCTACAAGGCACTCCTGCTGAAAATACTCGGGAACCTGTTTTTCTTCTAAGTTTGACGTACACCGGAGAAAACATGTGTACGTCAGGGTGCATGACACACGACAAGACCCCACAAAAAAAAGAACAAACAAAAACCTAAGCGAAAAATGATACGATAACCGAAACGATAAAAGAACGTGCAACTGGTAATTCCACAAAATCAACATGCAATCCACTACCAAAACATGATAATCATAAGAATCTGTAAATCAATCGGGTAATGAAATCATGCAGCTAGCGATCAGAATAATCATCCAAATCACAAGGTCATACACTAGATGAAATTAATACTTAAAAATCTACAACTCGAGACGTAGTACGTCGAGCGAAATAATCCAAACAAGGAAACCCTCATGTATATACCATATGTCTCGAATTGTAATATAATTAAATATTAATTCTGATCTATGTATGAAAAGAAACAACAATGGCCTACATCTCACAAGAATCCATAAATCCTAAACAAAAGTGACGACACCGATTTACCTTGAGCCGCAACAAAACCAACCACAGTGGTGACACGATCCACTGTAACAAGTCCATGTAATAGCCATCCGTATAACAGGTCACTGGTTCATATCTCACACAGAGTCAACGCTTTATCATCGGATAACTGATTGTTCACATATCCCTTACGTGCATCCCATTCAGAATCAAAGTAGCGACCCGATCTACTTGACCCGACAACAAACCACAGTGACGACACCGATCCACTGTGAACTCACACAAACAACAAATCCCAGTGGCGACACCGATCCACTGTAACTCAACAAACCAACCAATCCAGTGGGGCGAACTGATCCATGGTAGCGAACCTAGAAGATATATCAACAGTCTTATCCGATTACATAAACATGGACTTTTCCACCCCAACTCATCTGGCTTTTCTAAGTCAACAATACACAGGTATCTAGGTCTTGTACACGACCGCTAGGGCAACTAAGGATATGAACTACTAACGGTTCTCAAACCACAACACGAGATAATAATAACATTAATTTCACGCAATCACATCATGACCATGTCGAATATAGTAAAATATTCACAAAAACTGAAATGTAATATGAACAGGCAACTACGTACTTCAGAAAATATTCTTTTCCCAAAATAATTTCTTTTAAAAATTATTTCTCATTATAATAATCCAAAATATTCTCTTTCCTAGAATAAATTCTTTAAAATTATTTGCTCCATATACTAAATTCAACATAAATCCTTTTTCAATAATAATTTCTTTAAATTATTATAATTATCTTAAAAAGATTCTTTTGGCCGAATTAAATTCTTTTAATTCATTATAATTATTCTGAAAATTCCTATTTATCATATTACTATGATTTATTTTATATACTTCATCCAACAATCTCACGCGGATAATATAATCACAAACTAATATACAGATAATTCTAACAAGTATAAAATTCAGATGCTGAGACAGCCGGGCATCTTGCCTCGGGTACAGCGAATGAATCAACGTCGACGACGAGTCGCGACGAGTGTCGACTGAGGCATGACGGCAGGCGACAGAGATGAAGGGCTGCGGGGCTCGGCATTGAAGGGAGCGACGACGACTGGGTTCGACGGCAAAGCTCCGCGGTGTAGCTACGGAATCTGCCGGCAGTGGAAGGAGTCGCCGCGACGTCAATGGCGAGCGAGGGGAGCGTCGCGCAGCGGTGTGCGCTTCGTGAAGAGGAGGGCTACGGCGCGCGGGGACTTAGGGAGGCGAATCTGACTCCAGGCGAGCGGGGATGCGTGGTCGGCAGCTCGGAGGCTGACGGCACGCTGGTGGTACAGGAAGCGGTCAGGTAGCGGAGGAGGACGAGGGGGTGCTGCTGGAGGACGGCAAGGGCTGGGGTGGATCTCAGGGCGGTGGCTTGGAGTTGTGGCTCGGATCTAAGGGGAGGAGGTCGAGAGAGAGCTCGGGTTGACTGCGGGTGTTGCGGCGGCGGACATGGCGTGAGGGACTGAGGAACAGAGGAGGAGGAGGCGGAGCGTTGATGATGTTGATGGTGGGTGATGTGGGTTGCGACTCGGTGAACAGAGAGGGAAATGAAAAAGGGGGGCGGGCGGAATGAATACGAGAGAGAGGAAGAGAGGCATATTAATATATATATATATATAATATATATAGGGAAATTGAAGGTTTTTTTAAAAAATTTAATTAAAAATAATAATAATCACGAAAAAAAATTAAATAATTACATAAAAATTATCTACGCATTAAAACGTACCAGTTGTAGTAATACAGCCGATAATACGTAACAGTAGAAATTATACAAGAAATTGTACAATTAAACAAGAATAATTAATAAAAAAATATAATTACTTATATTTAAAATCAAATGACTATGAGATAATTATTTGTATAATAAAACGTACTAGCTGTGCTAATATGACAGATAATATGCAACGGTAGAATTAATACAAAAAATTATACAAATAATACGTAATTAATAATACAACGTATTATACGAAATAATACGTAACAGTAATAATAATACAATGTATTATTCAAAATAATATATAATGGCATCAATAACATAACGGATAAATTCCAGAAATTTTTACTGCACTAAATAAATTTATAAATATCTAAATCATTTAAATAAATATAAAATCATATTTTTAAACCATAGAAATTTCTAGAAAATCAACAAAATACAAATACTTTTAAATAAATATAAAATCATATTTTTAAACCATAGAAATTTCTAGAAAATCAACAAAATACAAATACTTTTTTAAAAATAATAATTAAATATTTTAAAATAACAAAAAATTATTTTAACTAGTATCAAAATTCATGGTCATTACATCCTATCCCCTTAAAACAAATTCCGTCCTCAGAATTCAAAATGCGAGTGATGCACAAAGAACCCATGGATAGAAATATGGAAATAAGGTCATAGCACGTTATGACAAATGTGTGAGCAAATGTTGAATGAGAAAATGAATGTGTATATTATAAGTTATACAAGACACAATAGAGAATAATTCAAACGAATTAAAAGTGAATAGTCAATGCAAATATATAGAGCAAATCAAGGTCATAAGAAAGTCTGATATGTAGTATAAATAATAAGAATGAAATAAGCATAACATAAAGAGAGTGAACACATACTTGAAAGAGATTGCACAGGCATAAAGAAGCATGTATATTGTAAATAAATTGTTAATACGTATCCAATTATAATATAACGCAACATCTGGGCATAAGCAAAAATATAAGTTTCAGTCAACATAGTTTAATAGCAAGAAGTCAACAATAAATATACAATTATAGAAAAATATAATATCAACACGATATCATTGATATAGTATCATAAGACAACACATCACAATGTTAAAATATAATCAATAGCACATAATTGGTAAAATATAACAAATCTATAGTATAAAAATATTATATGAAATATAAATACATAACTCAAACACTTGTCAATCACTAGAATATATGATAAGGCGTATCAACTCAACAATATAAATAATAAAGAAGAGCATAAGGAAGATAAAAGACAAAACATCTCAACAAAATATAAATCACTCATACGAAATTTAGATGACAAACATGATAAAACACAAAAACATAAAAACGCAATGCAAATAACAGATAAATTATATACAAGCAAAAGTAAAAGAAACATTTGAAAATTATGTAAACAAAACAAAATAGCAAAGAATCAAACGTATATATAGTTTAGATAAACATAATGTACAACATAAAAGACATGAAAATAATAATAGTAATACATCAAATTACAATAGAAATATCATACAATCAGTTAGTAGAATAAACATTTATGATATACAAAAAGTATAGTTACAAACAAAACACACGAATGCAATCAGTAAATCGCATTCAACAAAATAGGACACATAAGGCACAAGTATTGAAAATAAGAAATTATAATTATGTTAAAAAGTTCAAAGCTAATATTATAGCAACACATGTCTAAAGTAGTCAAAAATCATATAAATACATTCAGCATAAATATACATAATAAAGATGTATAATACATAAACATGACTATGGAAGATAAAATGGATATATAAACAAATGAGAACATAAAAAGATCATAAATTCGTAAAATCAAAGACACTGATATATTTATTTTAGATAAACGTGCCATGAATGATTGATGGACATGTGAACATAACACTGATAATACATAAAACATAACATGATTAGACAAGGTTGATAAATGACTATATAACAATATACGTTGTAAATATAATAATCTACAGAACCAACTATAATGAAAGGAAATAGTAAGTATAAAGAATGAAAGTAAAACACAACACAAGTAAACATAAATAATGAATAGAGAATAACTAACAAACAATGTCACATAATGACATAAAAATAAAAAAATACTATAAAATAACATAAAAAATAATATGCGTATACAATGAATATTGTCGATATGATAAAATACTACATATCGAAAATAAAGCAACAACAACAATTATGCATACGTATTATAAACAACACATGAGTAATTACTATACATACTCACAAACGCTATTTAGAATTACCTCTTATTTTAATTATAAAAAGGTAATAATTAATGTAACAAAATAACTATATAATTGGTAACTCAA